GTTGGGGATGCTGGACTCCCATATGGCTGACTACAGTTCAAGTCCTGGACCTGGTGGCTTGCTTTCTCACTTTCTCTCTCTCACTCACTCACTCACTCACTCTGTCCCTCTCTGGTCAAATTTAAATAAAGTTAAATAATTTTTAAAAAACTTAAAAAAAGGTATTATCTATAGAGAATTAACCATATCCCATTTATCTCTTAAATCTATTTTTTTCAAAAATTATGTTTATTTATTTATTTATTTAAATTTTGCTATAGGGCACATGTGCTCACCAGAGAAAGAGACAGTGAGAAAGCAAGTTGCCAAGTCTGGGACTTGAACCACAGTCAGCCTGTGAGAGTCCAGCACCTTAACCATCATACCATCTTCTATTCCTCCTAAGCCCACTCTAATCAGGCTCCCACTCTCATCATTCTATCAATCTGTTGGCCTCAAGGCGACCAGTAACTTTATGCTGTTAAGTCAGTTCATCTTCATGTTTCTTGACCCATCAAGCGGCATTTGCTAAAACTAATCACTCCCTCCTCCTCATGAGACTTTCTTCATTTTGCTCCCAGGAGACTACCCTTTCTTGGTCTTCTTACCTCACTCACAGGGCCTCATCCCTCTAAACTTCAACGGCAGTCTTTCTATTCTCTATCTATAGATCTCTATCTATGCTACCATCCACTCCACAGCTTTAAACACCACTGTTATGCTCACAGGTCCCAAACTTGTATTTCCAGCCCCAGCCTCACTCCTGAACTTACACGGAACGACCTCAACTCCACTTGGAGGTCTAATACCTGACCTCTGGCTGTCCAGCCCTCTTCAAACCTGTTCCTCTTGCTTCGGTTTCTCAGGCCAAAATAGAGTCAGTCCTCTCTTTCTCTCATGCACCATGTCTGATCTGTCAGCAAAGCACGGCCTTCAAAGCACTTCTACCTTCAAAACAGATCTCGAATGCAACCACCTGTTACACTTCTTCCACTGCTACGACTGATCCAAATCACCATCTGTCACCTCGGTCATTAAACTCCAGAGGTTCTCAACTGTAGGTGATCTTACACCTCTCCCCCTCCCCAGGGACATCTGACAGTATTTGAAGACCTTCTGGATTGTCATGACTAGATGGGGTCGCTACTGGCATCTAGTGGGTGGAGGCCAGAGACGCTGCTAAATAGCCAATAAGGAGCAGGGCAGCCCCCGCAATAACACAACAGTGTCAGGACATCTGTCGCACCCCTAACAATTCTCTGTGTTTCTACCCTTCCCCCCTTATTCTCTAATCTCCATGGAGCAGCCAGAGAGATCCTCTTGAAACATAAAATGAATCTACTTAAAACCATCCAGTGATTTCCCACCTCACTGGGTGTAAAAACCCAAGTCCTCAGAATGGCCCCACCGAGAAGCAAAGTGGGATGAGCAGCCACACCCCCCAATGGCCCCGCGGAGAAGCAAAGTGGGATGAGCAGCCACACCCCTCCTACTCCACCCCCCTTTCCCCAAGTTCCCCCAGCTCTCTGCATTCCAGATGGTGGCTTCCTGGCTATAGGACTCTTTAGGGACCTCCCTGCTCTAGCAGAGACAGACTCAGTCTGGGGTGCTCTTCTCCTCATATCCCTTTGTTTATCTCCCTCGCCTCCTTCGAGTCTTCATTCCACACCCACCTTCTCCATGGGGCTTTCTGAGATCACCTCATTTAATGCCCTCTCTCCTCCCTCTTACCCTGCTTGAGTTTTCCTTTTCTCCACAGTTACATCACTTTACTATGACAGCTAGTGAGTCTTCCCATAGGATGGCAGTGGCCTTGTCCACTGCTGCCATCCTAAGCACCTCCGGCTAGCCTGGTGCATAGTGGGTGCTCTGTAAATATCGGAGGAACAGAGATGAGGTTTGCAGTTCTCACTCTGCTCTTTGGTTGGCAGCATCCAAGAACACCTCTTACTGCAGGTCGACCTCAATTTATAACTGAACAAGCCACAAACAAAAGAGTCAGGCAAGAGCTCTTACTTGGCACGCGAGGTCTGTGCTCACTGCCACACACACACCTTTCTCCCCTGGCGAGGGGGGCTGCCTGCGACTGCGGGGTGCAGCAGAGTACCAAAACCAGAAAGAACTCAACGAAATCAGCCAGGCCCACTGGGAATCCGCACAACCAGAGGACGGAGAGGAACCGAACAGCTGCAGCCCCCTCTCCCCCTCCTTCACCACGAAGCAGCAGCAATGAGAGGCGACCCCGCAAAAGGATTTGGCCTGAGACACTAGCGTCCCGAAGGCAGAGGTCATGGCAATGTCCTTCTCACACATTCCAGCATTAAGAACGAAGAGGCGGAAACGTGTCCCACGGGTCTGAGAATTCGAAATGCGAAATCCTGGAGACAGAAAGTGAGGCAGGGCCTCCAAGAGCTGAGGCTGCGGGAGGGCGGGCTGACATCTCCGATCTCCTGGCAGTCTCCAGGCGCTCCCTCTCCTCCCCACCGCCACGGGGACGCTCGGATCTCCGCCCTCCGCGCAGGCCAGGAGCCAGGGGCTCGCCAGCATCCGGACGGCTAGCCTCGCCCCCGCTCCCGGGCCAGGGGCACGCGCGACCCTTTCTCACCTGCGGCTCCATGTCCACCCTCCGTCCTACCCAAGCCGGCAAGAGCAATGGAC